TCAGCAGCATGGCGCTGGCGGTCCATAGACGTTGACCATTGAGTGGTGAGCTGGTCATCATTCCGCTCAACAAAGCGGTCAACCCAGCTCATGGAGACCTTGAACCCAGCAATATCTGAAGCGAAATTTTGTACCATCTCCCTGGTCGGTGGTAAGTGAGCTGCAGTGAGTTTTTCTATATGCTTAACAAGCTCTGCCTCCTCTTGTGGCAATAGGTTTTGTTGTGTCAAATGGGCCTCATGAACTGAACGCGTCTCCCCACGCCACTTGCGCAACAAGGTTGACCGCACAACACCATGCTTTGTAGCTATTTTGGTCCAGGGAATATCTTCTTCGGTCTCAAAAGTATCACACTCTGCAAGGGCTTCTTCTAATCCTGTCATGTTGTTGAGCTGTTGGGGTTGATAAAATGGGGTGCAAAATGCATTTGGCGCATCTGGTGATGGCGCGCATGTGCTGACTAACTACGGTAGACAAGTTTGTTGAATGCAGGTGATCAGCCCTGATTGGCTGGCCCAGCAACATCAAGAGACTTGGATCTGCAAGAAAACTAAACAAACCTGTGGGTCAAGATTGGATCAGTGGGACAAAGGGGAGCTTGTCGGTAGAATATGGCGATCCACCCAGACAACCTTAGTGGATGGCTATGCCTCAGTAGTCGTAACTCCCAGCTGTGTAGACAACGCACCTATGCACGGAAGCATACCATCAGCGGCTGCTGAATTTCATGTGAGTGCTGTTTTGAGTTTGAAGGTCGGCTGCGTTCAAAGCTGCAAGCGTCGTATCATGGCGGTGTAATGTGCATCGCTCGGGGTAGGACCATTATCGTCAAGCTGTGCGACCTGAGATAGTCCTCGGAAGATGGTAGTTGAGCCCGGGGGACAAAGCACCTGATAGATATAAGAAGTGTCGCGTGCTCAACATTGAAAGAGCATCTCAAGCATATCTGAACAACACTCGCTTTAGCAACACCTGATACTCAACGCTACGCTTACCTGCTTCACATTATCTTTTTTCATTTTTGGACACCCATACCAACTCCAAACACCGAAACATGCTCACCATGCTCACTACCAGCGCCGACGTCTGCGCTCCGGCTGTTGGGCCAGATACACTAGCTAGTCACCCAAAGCTACCAAGGCCTCGAACTTTGAAGACATTTAACCTGCCACCGCAGCAGGTCGATGAAGTCCTACTTTCGGCATCGACTCTTCTGCCGACACCGGCATCAGATATACTTGGTGGATATCCGCTCAGGATATTGATTGCTCCCTTCGGTTTCAAGGAAAGCCTTGGTCCAGAGCATGTAGCGGACGCTATTGAGGCCGGTTGCCGGAAGGTTCTGGATGAGAATTCTGTCATAATACGGAAACTTCACCTGCACGATGGCGGAGAGGGCTTTTCTCGTGCTTTTGTAGCGACTCATGGCGGCACCATCGTGAATGAGACCGTGACTGGCCCTATTGGTGTGCCTGTTCAGTCGCACCTAGGCTTCGTCCACATTGACAAAACTGCTGTTCTGGACATGGCTGCAGCTGCCGGACTTCGTCTCGTCCCCAAGGACTCACGCGACCCGATGGTGGCTACGACATATGGCGTCGGGGAGCTGATCAAGAAAGCGCTGGATGCCGGATGCACCAAGATCATCATTGATTGCGGAGGTTCAGGAACTTCAGATGGCGGCGCCGCTATGCTTCAGGCACTTGGTGTCCGTCTCCTAGATTCAGAGGGGAAGGTGCTTCCTAAGGCAGATGGAGGTCGGGCACTGTCACAATTGGACAAGATTTGTTGGTGCGGTGTTCATCCTCGACTGCGCAAAGATGCTGGTAAGTGCATTTGCCTCCTTTGTAGACAACCTCCTGACACATGTAGAGCCAAGAAGGTTCAGATTGAAGCTGTGTGCAATATCACGAATGTCCTTTGCGGACCTCGAGGCGTTGCACGAGTGTACGGTCCCCAAAAAGGTGCTACTCCGGACCAGGTGGACTTGCTCGCGGCAGCATTGGACCGATTGGTCCAAGTTTTGCAGGTCACGCTAAAGCGAGACATCTAGAATGCTCCTGGTAGCGGTGCGAGCGGAGGGCTTGGTGCTGGCTTGATGATGCTGGGCACCAGGCTGCGCGCTCGAAGCGATGCCATCAATAAGCACTTCGAGTTTGACCGCGTCTTTGAGAAGCAGTGGGACTTTGTCGTCACCGCCGAAGGAAGTTTGGACTCCCAATCGACTCAAGGCAAGATGACAACGGAGGTTGCTCGCCGAGCAAAGCGACGCGGGGCGCAAGTTGTTGCGTTGGCAGGGACCATCGGAGAAGGAGCAGACGGATGCTACGGGGCAGGTATCAAAGGCTTCACAAGCATCATGAGAGGACCACTCACGCTGGAAGAAGTAATCGTACAGACCGAGAACTTGGTGAAAGATGGTGCCGAGAAGATTGTAAGGATGATCATGGTCGGACTGGTTCTTGGTAATAGGCACCGCCGCTAGGTGCACTGCCATGACAAGACTTTCCGGGCCTTGGTACTGCCACATTGGATGTTGCGTACATGAGACACGAGATACGACTTAACAGTAGAACAGACCCATAAATGTGACTATTAAAGATGAACGAGATGGATGCGATGGCTTGCGTGATGTTTGAGGTTGAAGGAGAGCTCGTGACGATGGAAGTAACCAACCCCATCGAACCGGTCTAGTCTATGCGCATTCTGATTAACCCTGCACCCAGCCCATCCTCTGAACATGAACGCCCACATATCATTGTTGTGAATGGGAGAAAGTTACGAGTACATGTTTGAACACATGCAAAAGCCATCGAGACTTAAAGTGGCGGCCTCGAGATGACACCGGTACAGATACCAATGGCTAAGTGTCGCACTGTTGGGTGCGGATTGTTCAGAGGTGTAGAACAGTAGTATTGAGTGTTCTGAAAGGGTATGTCTTGTGTGTCTGTTTTCCCTAGGGTCTCAGCCCAGCTTATCTACAGGGACCTTACGGCACACTTACTAATACAGATCACTTTCACAACAGTGCTAGCCTGCAACACTAAGTAACAACCGCGTACCGTGTCCGTGCGCGTAATGCGCGGATTCGCGTAATGCGCCAAACCACCTTTTTGTACCCATACTTCACTGTACAATTACTCAACGCCACAATGACTATGAAATCTGCCTTTGAAGAGATAGACTCTATGATACCATGCGATAAGATCCCGTGGACAGCGCTGGCTAAAAAACATAAGGTTGTGCGCTCAACCCTGTCTCGAAAATATCGACACGAGACGCGATTGCGTGAAGAGAAGGCGATTGCACAACAAAAG